GTATCAGTTATAAAAAAACACAAGAGATTTCAAAAAATGATAAAGCAAGAATAGTTTTAGTATAGGTAAGAGTTTGTATTAAGACGACCGTAGGGAGAGAACATATCGGACATTCCTGACTGTATTAAGAGAAAAATAAAAAAATCGCTGGATGAGCCGACTCATTCTTAACTCAAGAAGAAATAAAGTATTTCATTAACAATTAAGCACACAACTAAAACGACTTATATCAAAGTAAAATTGTTTTGATCACTCAACTCAAATTTAATCAAAATTTTGCACATTTTGCATCAATTGTCCCTTACAATACAATGCTGGCTATTCGTGTCTGATATCAGACAGTTCAATAAAATGATATCTCGCAGTGTTCAAATCCTTCATATATGCTAAAGAAATAAAGTTCAATTTTAGATTATTAACGCTTAATTTCAATAAAAAGATCAAAATATTTATTAAGTGTAATAGCTGCGAGTACAAAAGATAGCTTAACAAATATTGTTTAGTGATTGTTTCTTTACAAATACGATTTACTTTGTACATATACCTCATACATGTATGAATCGAGTACATTACACTGAGTGAATACATTTTATTTGATTTGAAAATTAAACAATGGTAATATGATAGACTATTTAGTTCAGTTATTGCCGAAATAAAATTATTACAAAGAATAAAATACAATTTTTCTGCATATAATTATTTTCAATACGTTTGACCATTTTTTTTCACCGTCGGAAAATTTTCAATAGTAGTTAATATTTTTATGTATTGTACATTCATCTCATCAAATCCTCAATAAATTTCGCCAAAAAAAATTTGTTCTAATACAGGAGCCAAAATTGATATATTTTTGACACTCTGTGTGTTATTCGTCAAATAAACAGAGCGTGTTTATAGATATGTCTGTCAGTGGATCATTCAGAAACATATAAACATATCAAGTGTGTAAGTATATTATTTTAAACAGAGTGTTAAAGAAATATAAATATAATATTCAATGTTTATAGAATATACATTGAGTGTACGAGGTTATCGTTAAATGTTGACGTTAAAAACTTCAAATTTACAAGACATTTTCCAGCTGCTGTGAGATATTATAGTGTAGCGCATGCGCAATGAAAAGAAAGTCACGAAAAAAAAAAGGTCTTATATAAGTGATTAACTATTTTTGTAAAAATAAATGAGTTCTTCTTTTTTTCAGTACGATCAGTTAACATTGATGTAAATTATAAAGCAACAATGAATACCGGTTTAGTTTGACACTTTGTCATTAATTTCATTCGGTAATTGATAGTAGTACATGTTTAGAACTTCACAGTGGCGTAGCACTTATACGTCATTACATTTTACTCAATCCGACTTTAATAGAATGATAAAAGAGAGTTACAATTTAAAATAGATTTGTAGAAAAAGTTAAAGAATAAACATATCTATGTTGTATTTTTTTTTATATATTTAACCTGTTAGATCCGACATCGATTATAGCCGTTGTCATCGATATAGAACGGACAGGATTGAACATTTGTGCAGCGGTTCGGAAAAATTCTTCTTTGATACATGTATTTAAATTGTTATCAAAGTTAAATGGAAAGCCTTAAAAATTTTAGTTCATATTTAAATTTGATAGACATAATCCTAAAGGGCTAATATAATTCGTATGTGAAAAGTGTTATTTTATAATAAGTAACAATTTTCAACGTAACGTAAAGTTTACGACATCCTCATCATTCGATAATGTACACGAGTATGTTACACAGATTTTCCATAAGTTATATTTTATTACAAGATACCATTGGAATTATTGAAACGTTTATTGGCTTTATTTAACTTCAAATAACATTTTAGATGCATTCAAATGCATATGAATATTATGAAATCGTTTAAAGATTGCCGAGAAAAAAAAATGAAAACATGTTGACATATTTTTTTAAGAACAGAACCGAACAGAAATTTTATTTCGTTATTTATACAACACAATATCTTGTTACACTACAAAAATAGCTAAGCACATTATATAATTCAAAGATCGGAGAAAGAACATATATTTCTGCAGAAATTGTTTATACATACAACTTAATGTATATCAAAATGATAAACATTGAACTTTTACAATGTATATGAAAAACGTTTTTAACCTTTATTTGTTTATGGATAACTTATTTACATGATTATCTTTTCTTTTTTTATTTGAAAATTTTATAAATTTACATAAATTTTAATGATACAGACGATTTGCATGACTGAAGTAATTGTTTGAATTCACACATATCAGGTCTTATATAATAGATCTAATATATTTTAATTAATTTAGTTTAAGTTTTCACAATACCTGTAAGTTATAGGTGTCTTAACATTTTGATTAAATAATATTAGTTTAACCACGCAAGGGTTTTTGGTAAAAATAATTATGATACTTTTACGAAGTTACTGTTGCTCCGTGTATGCACGGGTAATTGCTGTTTTGATCTTTACGCGGGAACTGCTTTGTATGTTTACCAAAGTTATATGTAAGGAAAAACTATTTTATATGTTGAATACAATAATTATTATTGTTGAATCATGTTCACGGACTATTTTTTCATGTTACACATGTACGCATGTATCGTTCAGGACATTCAGGGCGGGAGTTTTCATTCACGTGAATGGTTGTTTAAAGTCGTCGTTTCTTTCACTGAGGCTATCTAGCTACATTTTGAAACAATAAAAGAATATTGCAATAACTATTCTTTATTTTAAACAGTTGTAATCATATTAGATCATAGAATAAAATTAACTTATATAAAAATGGTTTGCGCGATAACTTGTATCCCTTAACACACAAATGTGTATTTGACTTTCACTCACAAAATTTTATAATTTATTCAAATTTTAGTACATAATATAATGTTAATGACCGGAGTCAATACTTTTATATTACATTTAAAACACGAAAAGTGCGTTATAATATTAGGACTTCGTTAAGAGACACGGGACGTAAGAATTTTACATTGTGAACTTAATAAAATGATTATAAAGAAAGAAACGAAAAAGAAAGTGCATCACAATGTTAGAATGCTATTTTTAAATATTAGGACAATAAGCGCTATCATTTTCTATTTTCTTTTTTTTTTCAACCTGTAGGTCATAAAAAAAATGTTGACAAAAATCTGAGGTGCAGGGTGTCTTTTTTATATAATGGATGCACAGGAACTTGATTTGCGTGCTTGACATTTTCCCTTTCTGTGTAATTTTCTAAAATAAATGTTTTGTTTCTTCTCTGAAATTATTTAATTTTATATATTAGAAACATTCTCGTTGCATTTACGTGATAGAAACATTTATTAGAATTAAAAAAACTTGATTCCAATATCTGTAAACGGTAGATTAAAGCACGACTATCTCGTGAAATCCAAAGAAATACGAGCGAGTTTGAGAGGATTTCTAATTCCTCACTGTGCAATTGAATGCACCCGTGGGAACCGGGAACAATCATTAAGAACAATTACTTTAATTGAGTAACAATTAAAACTGACACGAGAACAAAGGTCTGGTTTGTAAATGAGCCCTTTGTAACGAAAAGGGAAGCTAAATTTAATTTTATTTTCAGAAGACTTGCTTTGGTAGGAGAAGCCCTGTTAATGTTACCATTAATGTCGAACCTGATTACCTTTTAATGACTTGTAAAACGCTTCGAAAGAGGAAAAATCTAAATAGTATTTTTTCAATTGACGAAAATCTTTAAATCACTTAGTGGAAACTGAAAAACATTTGTATGGAAATGAGGCGGCAATTCTAACGTGCAGATTTCTTTTAAATAAGAATTTATGTCATTCATTAATATTTTGAAAAGAAAGTACCCTGTTTCATGGAAGGTGTCCACGTCCTATCTAGATTTTATTAAAATTCTTTAAACATTAATCCCCACTCCCTTTGCTCGTTGTCATTTTAGCTACTTAAAGTGCATCGAAACTGTTCAGTATCAAAACACTTGCAGGAAGTAAAATACATGTAGTATACCTCGCACTTTATTGCCTTAAAGTGGATTGGTCTTTAATGGGTAGTATTTAAAATAATAAAAATATTCAAAACATTGATAAAATCAATAGTAATGCATAAGTTAAATATACTTACTATTTCTTGAAAGAAAAATGTTAAGAGTTCTATGTGATAAAGTATGAGCATTTTAAAGACGAGTATTAATATTTTGTTCTACAATAATTGAAAATTATCTGCAATAAATAAATATGTAATTTTAGATCATATATCTCTCACATACTAACAACCATACGTCAATATATGATTCTTTCCTGATTTCTTGTCAACCTTGGTATTCTATACTATCAACATAATTATTTTTGGTATTGCATACCTTCCGTTATGGAACAATTCACTTTAAAGTAAAATGAGTAGAAATGTAGTTTGTTTACATTATTACTGACTCGTACTTTAGTTTGCAATATATTTTACACATACACTTCCCTGTAAAACAAAATGAAACAAAAATGAAACAAAAATCCAAACATAACTTTTTAAACAAACAAAAAAATCCTGTAACACAATTTTTTATGGTTTTATTTCATAAATATGATGCTCAAATTAAGCTTTGTCAATATTGTAAGTTCCAATAAGCAATATTTATAAAGATATTACCAAATTCAACATTTCATGTAAATAAAGGGTGGTAATTAGAAATTTATTTTTCTATAAATTCTAAGTTATATTTTGCAATAAGAAATGAATGCATGTAATTTATTGATTAAATATAATGTGCACAAATATTTGCAGTACACATTTTACATATTCTTCGATGTTTGAAAATTGTTTTAATTGCATTATTATATACATATATAATATTTTGCAAGTGTGGTATACACACAGTAACAATAAACTTTAACTGGTATAGTGTTCATAATTATGTTACATATCTTAGCACGTTAGCACGTGACTCGAACATGAGGTACTTTGATACTAGTATATGATTTGCAGGTTCACTTTTTTCAATCTTTGTCTTTCTTTTTCAGTGGTCAGACGAATAGGCCACCCATATCAGAACAGAACGCCACCAAAGCGCAAAAAGCCACGCACCTCTTTTTCTCGTCTGCAAATTATGGAACTAGAGAAACGATTTCATCGTCAAAAATATCTTGCCTCGGCTGAGCGTTCCGCGTTGGCGAAATCACTAAAGATGACAGATGCGCAGGTTAAAACTTGGTTCCAAAATCGTCGCACAAAATGGAGGTATATATATTTATTGACTTTTCTTTCCTAAATAAGAAACATACCTCGTATTGATATGTTTTTTTCTTGTCTGATACATTGTCTATTGTTAAGAGTCTTTAAATGAGTGGTATGCTTGCAAACTTATAGGATGAAATCATTTTAATATATATCCGCTAAATTATCAAAATAGTATGCTTTCCAATTTCTCAAAATAGATTTGTCACTGTAAGCTGTTTGAAAGTGTACAAAGGTCTATCTTACAAAATATTTTTCATAAAATTAAAAAACAATAAAAAATGTTTCCATAATAATATGGTCGATTCTCAAAAGAATGTCTCTCTCTATATAACGAAACATGAATATTGTCAGAATACTTCAGCAGAATTAAATGTTCCGGAACAAAATATTATAATTAAATTTCCTCTAATCATTCATAAAGATATTATGAAAGTTCTGAATTTCAAAATAATCAAACAATTATTTTGTAACAACATAGCTACATATACACTTTAACACCTTGTCATACCAAGGGTTTTGCCCCTCGATATATCGTTTCCGGAAGGTGACTATTTAGCAATGTTTCTTGAGTATAAATATTATAAAATTAAGACTATTTTCCCGAGGGAGTATTATCATAATTCCTATACAAGTGATTTTAGCAAGACAGTCTTTACCCATTTTACCCAAGATTTCTAGTTTCCCTATCTCTGGTCAGTGATGAGCATTTTAATTATAATAACATGGGTTTTCACCGTGCCACTGATAGCAGCATCATTGAATATTTTACGATCCTATCATGTTTCAAGAATGTATATAGTTTAAAGCTGGACCAGCCCTAGACACCTGCTGAATTTGAGTAAGGGCTTATCAGCTAGTAAATCACAATTAACTGTAAATCTCCCAACACGTCCAATGAGTCGAGAGTCTTGTCACTAATTGGCCCTCTGTATTCTTATCTAATGGGTATGATGGCCGGTTGTGGCCATTTCAAACCCGCGAGAAATTTTATCATTTTATCATAAAATGTCGCGGCTTTAAAACGGACGCTATCGGTCACCATAAATGGCGATCAAGTTTCTGTAGATATCTCCGATATTAAAAATATAAAAAGCCAGTGAATTTATTAATGCAATTCAATATTATTGTTGTTTATTTATACTGTGATAATTTTATTTTACAGACGACAAACGGCAGAGGAGCGGGAAGCTGAACGACAAGCCGCAAACCGGCTGATGATGTCGTTACAGGCGGAAGCGAGTAAAACGGTTTACGACATCAGAGATCCTCTCTGTATGAGCAATTCCTCTTTACATGCTTTACAAAATCTACAGCCTTGGGTTGAAGAATCACAGAGAAACTCCAGCTAGACAATGTCGTAAATATTAACGTAAAAACGGGTTGTGATTTTTGCTAAGAATACAAAAATAAACGTTATGACGCACAGAGATTACCACGTGACTGAACGTTGTGATTTTATTCTCTGGAAAGTGTTATTTAAAAATTCAAAACGTATCGTGTTTATATTATCTCTCCCTATGTGCCATAGCTTTAAAAAATAAAGGTTCGACCTTTCAATTTGAAGCCGCGAAACAAACAGATGTATTTCTTTCGTTCGTGTATGTATCTATGAAAAAGTGTTTGCAGACTCTATGTTATGCCCTGTGCTATAAAATGTGCTATTCAGCGGATCCATTTTTTTCCAACCAGATTTCTCAAATTTTTTTTACGTCATTGACGGATAGAGCCTCGAAAAAATACCAAATGTTGGTTTCATCACGCGAGTTAACTTTCCTGTGAATGCTCACGGGTGGAATGCTATATTAACAGTATCAAAACAAAGTCGGTTTCAACTGAAATAGTTCAAATGCGAAATAAAGAATGCATTGTGAGTTTTGAACTTTATCATAATCTCTCAAAATGACAATATAATATAAGCTCTTAAACCTTAAAAAATACTCAAATTATTTAAATTTGGCGAATGATGTCTGTCTTTCTTATATCTTAATTTTGTCCAAACTGTTGTGAATTTGAACCTTTTTCATTGGCAATTATATGTTATCAAAATATTTACGAAGCTTTCGTGTGATTTTGACGTACTAATTATTACACGTCATTATATATCGCCAATGCTCGTAATAATCATTTCTAATTTTAAATATACCAATTCTATGATTTTAGTTCTAAAACATACAAGCGTTTTATTCCACACTTATATAAATATCAAATGTGTTACTTTTAAGACCTTATTTATACATGTACAATGATAGCTCAATTTTATGAGTATGCTCCTGCAAATCAAAGAACAGTTTCAGATTTATCATTCAAGATCACTTTTGTTATAACTTCATAAAGTGATACGTCATGTCTGAGATAACGCTAGAAAAATATTCAGTATTATATTTTTGTGCTCTCAAAGAAATAAAATATTGTTAAAAAAGGGTCGTGGCATTCTTTCTAATCCTGATCTCTTGCCAATAAATCTTCATATCATACAGCCTGGAAGTGAAATTAGCAACTTAGCCCTCTGAGTTTTGAGTTCAAATCCCGCCAGGGATTTTGGCTTCTTTTGTGCGAAAAAGCTATCAAGCTAGCTTACGAAAGGTTGGTGTTTCTACTCAGCAGTCCGATAGCGCCTGAAGTATTGCACGGATGAGACACCTGTAGTATTTCTTTACTGGTAAAGCTTAAAGGCCGCAACAGGACCTTATTACGGTCAATATGTTTAAAAGCCAATAAAAAAATAAAAGAGAAAGTGGGCCATAGTGAAAATATAATGAATACTGTACCTGTATGAATAAAAAACATAGGAAATTCTCTCAGAAAATCGCAGGATAGTTTATTTATCTATTTTTGTTGTTTTGATTTGTTTTTATGAAAATGAAAAGGGCAAAAATCTTCTCGGTAAATCATTGACGTTTGGTTTATTCTTTGGGAAACTATTACGTTGATACAACAATTAATAGTCGGATTGAGCTACTTTTTGATTTAGCTCTTCCGATAAAAAACCAAGATCATATTAATATAAAACGTCGGAAGGGGTATTGTTGAGACTTTGACAGATAGAGTTAATCAAAGTCTATGTGATAGTGTCTAATTGCTAGTTAAGTGAAGTATTCTGTTTAAATTGGTACTTCATCTTTCAACACCCACACGTGAACCACACTCGACAATCGCGTGATAAAATGAGTCTGTTTTTAATCAAACGAAGTCAAGCATTGTTTTTTTGCAACTTTGTATTACGATGAAATTTTAACTGGGAGGAGGGTCTGCGTGTAACAAGTAGGATTCCTTTAGAGGTAGCTGTTAATAAAACGGAGGTTGTTATGAATACCAAGACCCCGGGTCCGAGTGTGTCATCATTCTCAAGCTAAATATCTTTAAATGACTTCTTCATCTTCATCTGTACAAATCCCTCTATCTTTTAGGGGATGTTTAAAATATGTTTCGACTTAATAGCGAACAATGCAAGCAATGATCAGACCACAAGGAATGAATGTGTCGACTGATCTTGGTCTGCACTATTCGCATGGGAAGAATCTGTTCCCACATTCATACTTAGCTTTAAGCTGAGATCCCAAGTAAATATTAAGAGCATGTTATACTTTCGAGCAGGAGAGTAGTGACCAAAATGTACCATTAAGAATCTATAGCATTTTTTATGATTCGTTATGACTGCCATTAGATTCTATACAAAAACAGATACAGTTCACATTAAAGTCACGATCGACCAATGAAAATCAATGTTACAATCGTGTAGGATTATAAAATACCTTTAAACGACGTAATCCTGCGGGGACTTGTCGAAGTGAAGAAAAAACCGTCTCCCTCTGTATTTAAATATATAGCTTTGTGAATCGTAAGCGATCGAACAAAATAAATGAGTAAATGTGAGAACATCGTTTGATTTCCCCGACATTGTTGAGCGGTTTATTTTTGGCACTCCATGTTATGTCTGGGACCTTATTAAAAACAGAATTATTATTGATAGCATCTTAAGTGAATAAGGTCTTCAATTTTTGTACGGATATTAAGGGTTAAATTTATAGCTCATAAATTATCAAATACAAGGTGAGTCGTCAGTGTGAGAGACGCAACTTTGTCCACATGCTCGGCGTGTCTCCGTGAAAAAAAAGAAGAGAAAATGTGTCTGTCACAAATATATAAATATATGACTTAAATTCTTGGCAAAAATAATATTTATTTATTTCCCGCATAACTTTTTAAACTGCATGAGCGAGAGCAAAAACAAGTGCGCTTCAACAGACCATGAACGCGATTAATTCCGTGTTAATAAACGCTTTTTATCGCACTTCAACATAACATGAACGCGATTAATTCCGGGTTAATAGACGCTTTTTGAAATGGTCACGCTCCAGATCACCGCAGTACAGTAAAACCCTCGTTAACGACAACACAGATAATTATTAAAGACAGGAACATTTTTCTTTAACTGGTTGACGGATTTTTGTAAGAAATAAAACGAGCTTGATAAAGAATCTTCATGATATTTTTCGTTCTTTATACAAGAGAGACAGCTGTCTCGTAATGAGCAGACATATTCGCCAGCTTATTACCATGGTAATTGAAACATATAGCTATACTTGACGGAGATGACCCACTGTTACGAGTATCTGACAACACACTAGAGAGAAATAACTCAAGTTTAAACATTTGGCTGCAAGACTTCGTGACAATAATAGTACAATAATAGCGCCCTTTATTTATTATCGCCGTTAAACACAATTGCAGGTAGTTATTGTTATTTCGATTGATAAAGCGTTATTAAAAGTTAGAATAAGGGTTTAGTTTACATACTGTTATCATTATTTTAATAAATAAAGCATCATTAGGAAAATGAATTACAGTGAAATCAGTATACATGTATGTATGACAGATTACTTGACAGCAAGAAACATATTAAAGACTTTGTTCACATATATTGGATAAAGAAATGTAAAATGCGTAATCAAACTATAACCAAAACTGAATATCATTTCCTTTTGTAGTGAATTAATATTATCAGACTTACGCAAAACAAACGCATTATTTTAGAAAACAAAGCAATAAGCGATTTTGCGACAAATTGTATCTTTAACTATTATTGGCTGTCAGGTAATAAAATCCTCAAATTAATTTCCAAAATTGACACATCACACACAGACTGTGCTAGGCTGCTTTTAATAATGCACTTTTAAACACCAAACTGATTTTGAAAAGAAAAAGTTTAAAGTGTTAAATATTTATAAAATGAGACGATGTTGTCTCATTCAAGCTTTCTTTCGTTTTATAATAGTAAAAAATCGTAACTTTTCTTGTATAATGTTTATCTATAAAGCGTTGTTATGACAATGATGATTGTTGTTTGCCATACAGACGCTCATGTGATTATATTAGTGGCAAAATGTGTCGACCATACACGGGAGTATGGCGGATGCATTTAGTTACATATAATTGAACGGCAAATTGCAATGTTTATAAAGCGTTGCAAACGATAAACTCAATATCAAACTTAAAAAATGAACTATATAGGATGCATTAGAAAAAAATGGCTACAAAAAAATGCTCTATTGTTCTGCTTGAAAAGTGTAGTTACAATAATAATGCGATTCTTTTTTAAGGAACGTATATGATTTCAGACAGTCAAGAGAACAAAATAATCCCTTGAAACTGTGATCGTATTTGTCAACAAAGATACCTGTATATTTCATTTTCTGTCTTATATTTATATTTTCCTTACACATCAATTTTGCGGTTTGTGTTTGAATTTGTGTGAACTATGCTCTTCGTTTCAATTCACTCATTCACTCGACTATAAAGATCTTATGCAAAATCCAAAAATAGATCTCCATGTTTTGTTGTTTCAAAATTCTATGGAAAATGCATAATCTTTATTAAGATATGGAATTCTTTCCCTAACCTTTATATAGTCGTCTGCAGACCCCGTCTGTCAAATCTTTCATCAACTATGCTGGAAATTTACTATTTGTCTGAAATAAAAAGAATACAATTCAAAGCAATAAGAGAAATACATACACCGAAGATGTACGAGCAAAGAAGTAATTATATGTTATATATAATGGTATATTGTCGGCAAAAACAATAAATATATCTACGTTCCCTATTTTGTGATCGTAGAGTATTAGCGTCTGATTTATGCCGAAATTAAGAGATGATCCCCACGGGTTAATCGAGTCTTCAAATTTGTCATAAAATCGTCGAGCAGTCAATTTCCTACATTATCTTTCGATTCATATACCATTTTTATGATTCTTATCAGCTGGCAATGCTTGGAAAATATTAAATAATGGGTCTGTCAAGCGATTTATCTTTCCGGGAACGTTTCAATTACAGACTCGTTGACATAAGCGACATGAACGGGCGCGCAGACGGAAATAAAAGTGATTAGTACTCAAATACATTCGCCCGCAGAAATCTCGCTGCGGTGTTTTTGCGAATATTTATTGTCCAATCAACTGTAAAGATGCAGGAACGATTAGTTAATTAAAGTACTAATCACAGCCGAGATAATATAAATTATCAGTGTGTAGATAAATGTAGGTTGTACGGTTTGACAACACGTTGTTTACGAAACTAGAAACAATTTGCGATTACTTTTTCGATCAAATATTTATCAAAGAATAATTGCTTCACATTCATTAATTAGACTTTTGATTTTAAAGCTAATTATGAACATTAATAAGTCTCTCGATTTCGGAATTAAGCGTTAAGGGAATACTGCGCTGTTAAATGAAAATTTACCGAAAATTAGGCAAAGAGTTTATACTTACATTGATTT